CTGTTAGATAGTGGTGAACAGTGTTGCCAGAAATAAATATCGATTTGGGCTAGAGTACCCAGAAAAAGGGCTAAAAAGGGCTAAGTAAAAAATTTGAAATCTTAGGAAAGGGCTAGTTTCATTATCCACCGATTTTAATATTTTTTTTTTATTTTTTTTTGAACGAATTTAAAAAAATTTATTTGTTTAGGAACATAGGCACATACTATTTTCTATTTTTCTAAAGCTCTACCCAGAGTTGCAGCGGACGACGGTGAAGTGGTCGACGGTTTACCGCTGTCAAAATTAAATTGCTCGAAATTAAATAAGAAATAGGTTACATAAAATTTCGAGAATTGAGGAATATAAAGTTTTTCAGTCTTAAATAAAATTCTTTCATCATAATTTAAATGCAAAACGTCTTATGAAATATTCTCTGGAGTCTGAGCATGGGGCCGCTTGAGAACTCCGGGCCGGGGAAAAAACGCACCGATGCCTCCTCTCGTCGAGCCTCTATACATACATGTATGAAATATTACTATTTTTCAAAAGTGTCATTTTGGCATCTTGCGCCAAATTGAGAAATCAGATATGTAGTTCATGCCAAACCAAAAAAATTGTAGAACAAAAAAACGTTTGAAGCACAAGCAGCCGCAATCATATAGGTGGTCTTTAACTTGTGTAACCTATGAACATTCACGAAACTCACTTCTTTTACGTAATCCATACGGTATCGCGTCTTTATCACATCAAATCCCAACCAATTTTTATCCGTATAATCTTCTCGAACTTGTTTTGGTTTTAAGCGAGTTTTCGGCACATATCTATATTGCGGACAACGTTCTGCCGCGATGATGCCGATTGCGGATAGGCAAGCCGTAAGTGTTATTGGGCTGATAAAATGCATGCCACAAAAATTCTTCACTACTATATTTGGTTTTAAGTTTATTCTCTATTTTAAATTTCCACTTAAATAGTTAAATACTTTTGTTTTATAGTTTCTTTCCGTCTTAAAACAAATAACTATGCTCAAAGCTAAAATACGAACTGAATAGTTTGATTTACAAAGCTAAGCATATAAACCCATATAAAATGAAAAAGTGCTCTTATGAAATTAAACAAACACACAAAAAAAAAAGAGAGAAATAATCTTTATTAAAAATATAATGCAAAACTGCTTAAATTCGTATTTGCGATTGAGTCATTTTAAGAATTTACTTAGTTCTTTATCGGGACGTGAGATGCAATAAACCGCAAGCGCCACAAATGAATTAAGCAAAGCGGAATAGGAAATTAAAAATATTTATATTTTTTTTACACCGACGAACATATGCTTATAAAATACTTGTGTATGTATGTAGTATGAACACATAATTAATTATGTATGCATGTATGTGTATGTAGGAGTGCTTTATTTAAAATAGAAAATATGCCTATTTGTAAGTACATATTTTAGTTGAACAATAATTACACACTATTGTTTGGCGTTGGTTGCAAAAATGCGGCATACCTTCATAATTTGAATTATAAAAAAAAAAATTATAGGTCGGGCTGTAATCGAGCATATGTATGTATGTATGTATATAAATAAGTATTTGTACATACTAAACTTTTCCTATGACTTTGCTCGCAGTGACCATTGAGACACATTATCAGTATAAATCAAATTTCAACCTTTACGGAGTTCTTCTTAACGAACATACAAATGTACCTATACTTACATATTAGTACTTTTCCGCTCAGATAATTTATTCGGTTTAGTAGCCCTTTCTTAAAAGAACTGATACATTTTCTAAGACGTTGGTATAACAATTTATGAATATTTAGTAAAAGTTTAAAAGCTGCAAATCTTTTAATATATGCCAAAAATGAGCATCAATGCATGTTTTTTTTTTTTGGTAATATACCGACGCTACCGACACCCATTGCAGCTAATCTGACACATTTAAAAGAACGAGATAACGAAATAACGCACGGTGGGTCAGAACCAAGTTCAACCCAAATGTCTTGACACTTCAAATTTTCTTTTGAATTTCTTTGCTATTCTGTTTTCTAAGTAATTTAAGGCAGAAAAGAAAAAAATCGTTACACAGGTTTTTAAGAAAATCGAGACTATGTGTTTTTTGTGCTGAAAACGTGGCTATTCAACCGTAGTGTCAACCCAAGGGACAGGCCCTTACTTAATTCAAATGTTTTTCTATTACCAGCAGAATTTGGTCTGATGAATATATGCCCGAAGACTGGAGTCTCAGTTTGCTTTGTTTAATCCACCAGAAGGGAGATCCCACCGTTTACGCCAACTATCTTGGAATATTTTTTCTTAATATTGCCAGAAGCTCTTCACGAACCCAATTGAACCACATCCTGGCCCAATCATTGACAAGATTTTCACAGCAAATCGATACACACCATCTCTTTGATATCGATAAATAAAACAGTACAATGGACGGCATGTGGTCTAGTCTATGTAAAAGTAAAGTGTACAAGATATCGATATATACAGCGATTATCGATAACGAAAATTGAAAGCTTTTTTCGTTAAATATATGAGAGTTTCTCAGTTAAAAAAAAATATGACATTATTATTTTTAAAATTTTTAGTAAAATTGATTTTTGTGTCGAAAGGAGAAAATTTAGCCCAGCTGGGACTCCCACAGCACCAACTAATGACCTTGAAAACATTATTTTAGTGCTCTACTCACCCTGGTAAATGTTTTTAGGATCACTTTAATTGAAAAAAACTAGCGTTAGTCCGCAGCTTCGCTCGCGTTAAGTTCGGTTTAACGTTATAATAGCAAAAACAAAAATAAATATCACCGAAAGAAGAAGTTGAAAAGGTGCTAATTGTCTCGAGGCACCACAACATATTCAATGCGTAGAATTTCAGCTGAATCGGCTATTTCAATATCAAAAAAAAAAAAAAATCAGTAACATTTATGCACAATATATATCTAGATTTTGAAAAAATATTTTTTGGTATTCTTTTAAAAAATATGTCTGAATAATAAAAAGCGAATTTCTCATTTATCTTTCCTAAAAAATATTCCACTAAGCAAGTGTTCAGTTTATTTTGATTTTTAAACACCCTTTCCAAAGTGTTTACGTTCTAAAGTTCGTTCAACCTGTTTCGTTTGACATCGATATTGTAATATTTCATTACAGTAACTTATTAAATTTCAAAAGAATTTTAAATACATACGTTTAAAAGTATTTTCGAACTAACGCCTTCTGAAACATCTTTTGTTTGACTTGGTATAATTTTGTAATGTTTAATTTTACATGTTGATTAAACTTAATTTGAATTTTAAAAATATTTTCGATTAAAAAAGTTATTTGACTTTCCAAACTAAAACTGCCCTCAACATCATTTGTTTGCACCCATATTGTAAAACTTCATTCTCATTTCTATGAAAAATGAATTTGATTTTTTAGGTAGGTCGCATGCCTGTTAAAAATGTTTCGTAATAAAGCCGCCTTAAGCGATAAACTTATAATTTAAGGTAGAATTTAACTATTTTAGCAGGTGGCATATTTAAAAAAAAATACGCAATATATTAATGCAGGTCATCAGCTCTCTGTATACCAAATTGTATGCAAAGAAAAACCAAAAAACATACTGCCTGACTAACTCACAAACTTTCAACTTTATAGTATTAGTAGTATTTCATTTAACTTCACAGTTATATTCCTAAACTGGTGGCAAGTCTCGTTCACGAATACAGCTTTCGTATAAGCTCTCGTTTTTGTTACTTAAATAAATTTTGAAATTTCTTACCAGAAGTAGTTCCTTTTAAAAACATTTTCGAAATGAGGCTTGCTTAAACCTCTCCGATTTGATGTTCATATTAAACTATTCCGTTGAACTTGCTAGTTGAATTGACTTTAACTTTTTGAATAGATGGAAACAATTTTAAAAGTTATTTCCGCAAGAAATCGTTTTTGACCTCCATCGTTCGACGCACTCATTGTTGTGGTACTTTATTCAACTTATTAGTTAAACAATTTTAACTTTATAAACAGGTGGCAACCCCCTCAACTATTTCCGAAATAAATCATGCTTGGACCACTTTTCTTTAACACCCGCATTGTTTTAATATTTTGATTAACTTGTTAATTAATTGACTCTTTTTTTTTTTTATGGAAAAAGTGGTTATTCATTAAATATGGCTTTAATTGATTGCATTTATCATTATAAAAACGGTACATAATTTTTTCCCAAAAGCGCGGTTCACGGAGCTTGACCCTATCTGCTCCTCTGCATCAAATTATTGCCTTGCCAATATAAACAAATATGTATGTGTTTATATATGCGTATATACATTAGGGCGGGTCGACAAACACAAAATGTTTGATACGAAAATTGTATAGATAAGTCTTAAAAGGTGCTATTTCAATCCCTTATTCTAGAAAAGGAATCCTGGCTCTCTGCGATAATATCTTCAGTCTACGGAATGTGCTTGAATAATTGAAAATAAGAGTCGGAATACCAATTTTTAAAATTTTTACAATGACTTGTGTAGATCAAATCTGGAACTTACTTTCTCTCATAAAATCATAAAAACAATAAACTGGGCTAAATAAAAGTAACAGCAATATATTAAACAATTTATATTTATTTCCTACTTAATTTATTAATTGATTAAATTATTGATGTTAATAACTTTTAATTTTTAGAGTTTATTTTTTTATGATTTTATGATAGCAAATAAGTTGCGGATTTTATCTATACAAGTCGTTGTAAAAATTTAAAAAATTGGTATTCCCACTATTATTTTAAAATTTTCAGGCCCATTCCGCCGACCGAAGATATTGTCGCAGAGAACCACTATTTGTTTTCTAGAAAATAAGGCATTAAAATAGCACCTTTTAAGGCTTATAAATTTGCGCATACAAAATTTGTGTTTGTAGACCCGCCCTAATATATGTACATAAATGTATATCGTTTAACCGAACCATGTCAAGCGCTGGCAGAACTATATAAGTAGTGCAACAATTTTTGCACTGGCATAAACCATCAGCTTAACTGTCTAAAACACCAATTCGGCAGCAGCGCTAACTTTTTTTAATATCTAAATTTTTTATTACATATGAACATATCTACACGATATTATTCTCTTTCACATTCGCCTTGTTTTTCGAATCCAACAACGCCTCTTTCAGCACATCATTCTGCTCCTCCTCCTTATGGTCGTCCGCTTTGGCTCCCCCATTCTCGCCCTCGTCCTCACCTTCCTCATCATCATACTCCCCCGCTAAGTCATTCAATCCCTTTGTTAGGCGTTCAGCCACCTTTCGCATCAAATCCTCCATACTCATCTCGATCTTAACACAAGCGCGCTGCGCCACATCATAACGTTGATCCAACGCTGAACATCTTATACGCTCGCACTTCAACGGCATAAACCACCAAGTGTTGGCATTCCTAAAGCCTTCACTACACACACACCGGTTTCGTGCCACACAGTGGCTATGTCGTGGACAACCACCAACACAAATGGGCCGGCAGTCGAGCAATTGCTGCTCCTTGTTATTCGGATGATGCTCCTCATAGCCCGATAAGCATTCGCACTGATTTGGCGTGGCGCAGTAGCTGAAGCGCGGACAAACCTGCTCACAGATGGGCTCACAGAAACCGAAAAGCAGCGTACGATAGCCAGGGCAGCAGATATTGGTGGCTTCCCAACGCACGCGCGGCTCATAGGTGACATAGCTACCGTTGGTAGTGGAAGTGACGATGTTATTGGCTGCGGTGTTGTGATCTGCTGAGGTGCGCTCGCTGGCAGCAGCTGCGCGCCGTATTGATTGAGTGGAGTGCCTCACTGCCACTTGGTATTTGCTGCTGATATTTTGTTTGCAATATCGGCCGGTGATGGTGAACGGTGTGACCACGCAGGCGCTGAGCAAATAACTGAGTAGTAGCAGCAGCAGCAGCAGGTGCAGCTTAACAATTGCTGCCGAGCCAGTGTGATGGCTTATGGGCAGGTGTGCAGGCGTACAGCCAGCCATGGACGCGGTTTTTGATCTCCCACGATCAGCGGCCTACTTTTGTTTAATAGACGAATTCTAATTCTCACTCAAACGAAGTGAATTGTTAGTACCGCCCGCCTCCAACGTTCCAGAGGAAATAATATTTAAGCGCTGCTGATCAGTCGAGAAATCCAGAGCATGTTATTCCGCGCTTATTTTGTTATTGTCAGCATGTAGTCGTATGTTTTTTTCATCGTTTTGTTTATATTTTTACTTTGTTATTATTTATACTACAAATGTACATGCATATGTATTTCTATCATTACGCTTGGGCATGGAGACTTCTGAGTTATCAGCCTGTACGCGCCATTGTAAGTTCAACTGATAATTACAGATCGTTGTGTTTATGTCTTTCGAGTGTAGTGGAGATGTGTACTATGCTTAAGTAGGTGCTTAGGATGGTCCATAATTTAATGGATTTGGTCAAAAATCCAAATATTTAGTTCTGTATAATTTTGTAAAAAATATACACATGTCATTGAACTACATATGTATATGCAGCATGGACGCAAAAATCGGCTCCGAAAATTTGGTTAGAAATTACACCGAGAACTTTCTGAAATTTTCAAGGAATCTTGAAAATCTAAATTATAAATTTTTAGAAGCCTATACAATTTCTTACATCAATCATGTTTTATCCGAGGATTTACCAGAACTTTAAAATGCTCCTTCAATAAACAAAACAAACAAACAAAAATAAATAAAAGATGGTCCCAAAAATTTAGAAAAAAACAAGTCTATGGTTAGGGTTGCCAGCCGTACTGATTTGATCAGCGCAGTACTGATTTGGGAACTCTAGTAGTGATATTTTCCACTCTGCAAATTACTACGCTAATGTCCTAAATTAACAAAAAAATTGTTACTTATTTGCACTGATTTTTAAGCAATTTATAGCAATTCAAAAACAAAACTTTCTGCATTATTTCGCAGAAGTTAAATAAGAATTTGTATGTTTTAATGCGTTCTGAGTGGGTTTGCCAACCCTCCTGCCTGCGATAAGACAGTCCTTCTTTGCCACGAAATCTCCTCCGTCCTCGCCAAAAAGTAAAAAGTTCTCCTCAATAGCTAAACACTTCTTTTTAACTTTTTCACATTTTTAGTTGTTTGGATATATCCATATATTCATATATGAAGTTCGTAAATTATATACCCATATCATCAAACTAGCACTAAAACCCTACTAGCCAAATGTGGAACGCTCCGAATATGAAGTGTAAAACGACTCCCACAGCAACAGCTTGAAAGAGCGTTTTCGGAGAGCTTCGAATATGGATATGGAGTGAGAAGGGAGTCAAAGTGTTTTTTTTTTTTTTAATCTAGTTTTAGTCTAGTCTCTAAATTGAAAAGAAATTTTCAATCAAGAAGAAAGAAATCGTCGTTTCCGATTATTCCTGAAAAGGGACACCGCAAAAGAAACTGTTGCAAATGCATGTAGCGGTAAACAAGAATGTATGAAAAAATAATTTTTGTCTACATTTAGAACTTTTCGAATATATTCAATAGAAAATATTCTGGTTCTGGCAAAGAATTCAAGAGAGTGGGCGCAACGGAGGTTTGGAACCCCTCAAAGGACCGTATTTTAAAAGAGATAAAAAATATTTTTTTTTTTGAAGCCAAACTTCTTTAGTGGCGGTTGGTTGGTTGGAAGGAGGATTTAGATAGAGACACCGAGGCTCAATCTGGGAACTATTTGTTTTGTGATTTTAGAGATCTTCGGGATTCTCGGGACCTATCGACAGTGATCGGACTTAATAAGAATTCTGTGTGGTAGATTCTGGAAAAAAATTTGGTAGATCTCAGGTTTCGGATCAAACTTTTTACAAAAATTAAAAAAAATCTGCATGGCTTCACCTAAACTGAAAAATAATATATTCTACAAACTGATCGCAACAAAAACCAAAAAACTGAAAAATTTTTAATTCGAATCTCTAGAAAAAACTTTTAACTTGGGTTTTGCCGATTTTGACAATCCTCACGTAAAAGTAAACAACGCCTTAAAAACTTTAGATGCACTGTAATATGCTAATACTTTCACAAAAACCGCCGATTTTTTTTACATTTTCTTTATTAGTTCTTTTTATAAATTATATATTTTGCAATTTAACACAATCAAATCACATTTTCCGACGAAAAATATAATATTGAGATATTGAGAAAATTCACTGTTTGATAGTTTCGTTTATACTCCCATTCGGCTTTGTTTACTTTTACTTGAGAAATCTCATCGCCGCCGGGAATGCGAAAACTTATATACTATTGTTCTTGTTATTAGGGTCACGAATTTCGATACGATATGATACCATATCGATATCTTTGCCATTCGATACCAATACTTTTTACTCGAAAGTTTTCAAACGATATTTTTTTTGAATCGAGTACCACAACCCTTGTATCGTATCGAATCGTAAATGTATATTACAAAATATTAGAAAATAAAATGAAAACCTCAAAGTTTAAAACTTTGGCAATTGGGCAAAACTTTTTGTATAAGATTTTTGTAGTAATACTTAAAATATTTAAAGTTAATTTTCCAAATTCCAAAATATAAAAATCTGTCCTGCTTTTTTTATCAGCCGAAGTATCCGACGTGACGTTATCTTACTAAAATTTCTATTGGAAGTTTTGTTGTTTATATTGTTTTAAACATTCCATTTCTTGCAAATCTATGTCATACCATAACCTTACTTATTTGGAAATTTATATGTAAAGCAATATGGGTATTTATTTTGCGCTTTAGTGATGTATTTATTAAAGTGCAAAGTGTTAATTCTTTAATAGAAAATGAGACCAATATTCAGATATAATTTTTTGAATTTCGTATCGATATTTGGAATATCGAGTCCTTTTATTACGATATTTTTACAGGAGTAAATACTATATCGATACCTTCCGTTCGATATCGTGTGCATACTTGTTATCACATAGTGTTTAGTGTTTGACAATTTTTGCTCTTAAAATTAAAAACAAATAAAGAAAATTATGTGGAGCTAAATTATTACTACTCAGAAATTCGACAATGTGGTAGATTTCAGACCTTGTGTGGTAGATGTGGTGGATGTTCCAAAAAGTGGTAGATCTACCACAATGTGGTAGAAGTCCGATCACTGCCTATCGATATAATAATCGATATTTTTATCGGTTTCGTTGGCGGTACTGTTATCGATTTTGTTATCGTTATATTCGGAACTTATCGATATAAAAATCGGGGTTTTTCTTTGATTTTGTAATCCATATTTTTAAAAATTTTGTTATCGATATTTTCTATCGGTCCTGTTATTGGTTTTGTTATCGATGTTTTTATCAACTTTGATATGGATTATTTATCGATTTTGTTGTCGATTTTTTTACCGATTATTTATCTCTTTTGTTATCGATTATTTATACATTTTGTTATCGATTTTATTATCGATATTTTCATCGATTTTCGTTATCAATTTTGTTATCCATTTTGTTATCTGTAGTTTCATCGATTTTGTTATCGATATTTTTATTGATTTTGTTGTAGATATTGTTATTGATTTTGTTATCAATCTTTTTATCGATTTTGCTAGCGATATTTTTATCGATATTGTAGTCGATTTTGTTATAGATATTTTTTTTTTGGGTATCGATGTTTTTATCGATTTGGTTATCGATATTTCAATAGATTTTGTTTTCGATATCCAAATTTTTATCTATTTAGTGATCGATATTGTTATCGATTTTGCTATCCACATTTTTTCGAATTTGTTATCGATAGCTTTATATATATATTATTATCGATATTATTATTGATGTTACTATCGATTTTGTTATCGATACACATGATCTGACATCAAGTGACCGAACATCACATGATATGACATCATTTGGCATGACATGATATCCTATCACGTTATTTCACAATATATCACAATGCTTCTTATCACGTGATCGCACCTCACATCATCTAGGAGAATATGTACATAGATGAGGAAAAGGATAAAAGCAAAGATATAAAAGATAAGAACAAAGATATAAGCTAGATATGTAGCGCAAGTTTCACTTCTCCAGTGTAGTCCAGGCGCAGTTATTTTATTTCATGATTTTTCCGGTTTTATCTGTTTATTGAAGAATATGGAAATTAATTTTTAATTTAATGTTTTTTTTTTTTAATAAATAGTCGAAATTCATATCCCTAGGCCTTTTATAGTAAAATCGAATCGAAATGTGAAATTTGCCAAACACTTTTGAGATGCCTTCTTCGTAATTTCTTCAATTTAAGAACGATATGTGTATCAGACTTTTATCATATATCAGTCTAGATTTCCAAAAAACTTTCCTTTGAATTCGTCAGAATGCATCATCAGCATAGCATAAAAATTGGCTATGGGCTAGACGTCATTAAAAGTCTATTGATATTCGTATCAGTGAAGGCGCTGCTCAGGAATTCGTTATACAACAAAGAATTCTAAGTACAAACGAACAAAAAGAAAAGAAATTGATATTATTTTTTTAGTTCTGCTCCTGCGGATACATAAAAAAAGATTATTTTAAACTTATACTTATTAAAAAATTTGAAATAAAACTAAAAGCATTGTATTCGTATAAACAATTCGTCATGTGCTTGATATGTAGTAAAAAGTCTTTTATCGCGCTTATGTATTTATTAAAATAATTTTTTCTTTGCCTATTTTTTTTGCATATTTAATTTTAGGTCTTCGCATTTGCGGTTAGGAACTCCCCGCTTTTCGAATTTGGTTTTGCTTTTTTGTGCTTTTTTCTTAAGCTGCTGTAATTTATGCGCATATGCTTATCAGTGAAATTTTTATATAACAGTAGTGGCTAATAAAAGTTTACGACAGGGAAGTCGCATTGAAAATAACACTTCCATAAGTTAGCACTGCGCACTTTACCGCTGCAAAACCATGTGCCCGGGTAGCTCAGTCGGTAGAGCATTGGACTTTTAATCCAAGGGTCCAGGGTTCAAGTCCCTGCTCGGGCGAGGGAATTCTTTTTTTTTTTTTGAATTTTATGAAACACAATATAAAAGAAGAAAGTGTGTTGGAAAAAATTTACAAAAATCTATTTTTGTTCGGTACTGAAAACATTGCCATTATTTATGGAGCACGATTTCGTT